GTGACCCACTCCCTCCCCTCTTCTCTCTTTCCCAGCAAGTTCACATACTCCCTATATCCCTTCTTTATTTGCTTTGGGTATCCCATTCTTCAAGCTCTCGCTCTCTCTCCTTGAATAGATACAGGGGTAACTGTTTAGGTACGTAGAGATAGAGAGGGCAAAGAGGTAGACAGCGCGAGGGGATTCAACAAGTTATGGGTTGTGGATGCGTTTTGAATATATGGTTTAAAGGTAGGAATAGAATAAAAAATAAGGGTTTAATATCCTATTATTAAAAGGATCAGGGGGGCCATGGTTTTTTGTGGATCCAAGGGTGCATTAGGGATGAAAGTCCACTAGAGCGGATGAGCGTTCTTTTCCTTAAAAATAATCTATATTGTAATATAGAAAAGTCTTCCCACCACTTATAAGTGAAAAATGGATAGTGATTTTGTCTATTCTCATTACCGTCTAAAATTCATCGCATAAACACGATTGTTTGGTAGTAATTTGTTTTTCATTTTTTTTATGCAAATCAAAATGATATGAAATTTAGAGTGTCTGTGCATCTTAGTGAGGCGCACTTAATAAAAATATAAAAAAAATAATTTGAGAAAAACAAATTGATTAAAATACCCTTAAAACTTTTTGGGGGTATTTTGATCAATTTATATCATGTAAAATATTTTTTTGATATTTTTCGTAGATTTGCCTATTTTTAATTAACGTACACTCAAAATTTTAGATTATTCTTATTTGTAAAAAAAATAAAAAATAAAACACTACTAGACAATCGTGACCGTGCGATGTATTTTTGACCCGTGATGAGGGTAGGCGAAATCACTATTCATCTTTGCCTATAGGCTTTTTGTAGTATTTTCTATTATAATATTATAACATATTATCTAGACAATCCATTTTAAGTGTTAATGGATCCACCAGATTTGTATTGTTTTTTAAACTATAAATTTTATAATCAATGTGGGAAATGATTTTAGAGCCGTTATAGGGATTTTCCGTACTTAATAAGTATTTTTTGAACAAGGTTTTGGGATGAGGCTTAACTTTTTCCATAAGGCCTACGCCTTATATTTATACTTGTCATTATCTCCTTCTTTCAATAAACCATTTTGGTTTTTGGTTTTGCAACTGTATGCAACAAGATTGTCACCTTGCACACAAAGCTCACAAAACAAGATGTAAAATTGGATGTTGGGGTGTGTCGCTTTTACACACAAAATCTGAAAAAAATCTTTCACAAACTTTGAACGTGGTTACAAGTACAAACCTAGCTATCTGATTTCACGTATGACTGTTACAAGTATTTGTGATCTTTTTGTAAACATTCTATACTTCCCATTCCCTTTGGTTTTTGAGTGTTGTGTTCATTCCTTGTGCATTGGTTGTATATCTGTTTTAACTCACGTAGTGCAGGAAATCCTGATTGATGAGTACATCACGCATAATTTGAAGTTGGAAGATATTAACGAGGCCTTCGACCTGATGAAAGAAGGGAAGTGTTTGCGCTGTGTCATCCATATTGCAAAACAAGATCAGACTATTATGTGAGCAATGCAATGGGAGAGAGTATTGATTGCTTTTGAAGGGATTAGAAAGAGGGGAGATCGGAATAATGGCTCTTTTGAATGAAAAGACAGAGAGAGACCGTCTGTTTTGAAGTTGTCCCCAACTGGGTTGTTGCTCCAAACGTCAAGGAACAGATTGTTGTGACTGGAGCACCAGAGAAAAAGGGAGAGGACTGATTGCTGCTATGGTGCAATCGTCCTTCACCATGGTTGTCGTCACCACAAAGAAGGAAGACTGAATTACGTACAGACAAAAAAAACTGAAGTATGAAATGAATCAATTTGGGTTAAAATTACAGGCCGTTCAACTTGAGGTTTTTTATTTGCTCCAAAATTGCCCATCGGTGTGATGGTATCTTCGGACCACATTTTAATTATTACTATTTTTGAGTTTTTTCGATAGTATGACTGTATTCAGCCGGTCTGATGTTAGCATCATCGGACCGCCTTCTGTGGTGCACTTCAAAGTGGTCTGAGGTTGCATCCATAGACCGCAAAGTCTGACTTTGTTAAGCATTCAGAGGCGGCGCCCATCCTCGGACGGCCTACTCTGGTGCTCTTTAAGGTGGTCTGAGTTTGGCATCCTCGGACTGCATTAGCTCATTGTTTGCAAGATGATGCCAACCTCGGACTACCTTTTGGATTGGGCATTGTCCCTCATACTACGATACCGAAATAAATAAATAAAAAAAATGATAAGAGAATGGCATCCTCGGATCAAAGGGTAATTTTGAAAAAAAAAATGAAACATGGGTTGACCGACCTTCCGCATAATTTTCACCCAAAATCTACTCATTTCATTTTTATATATATATATATATATATATATCCATACGTAAATTACTCAAGACGGAAATGAATTGTTCCTTGATGCATTGCTCTGATTTTCCCTTGGACGTTATACTGACAGAGAAACATCCACCCCCCCTGATCCATAGCAACAAACGTTTTATAGGACCTTCTTTGACAGGATCAAAATCACCTTTGATTCTATGTAAAACAATCCTATTAGTAGCGGTGTTTTGAAGGCTCAGAAGTCGCTCTTTCAGTCAGAGTATATTGGAGGACTTTGAGTCCTTAGAATCATTATCCTTGCAAACGACAATGAATGAACGAAATGTGTGGATCCTATCCTATGCTAATTCCATCTCTATGATGGATTTTTGAAAGGAGAATTAATTGCTTAGGATATTTAATATAGAGCAAAATGACATTTAATTACTTAGGATATGTGTTAGATCCTTTTAAAAAAAATTAATAGTAAATGTGTGTTAGATCCTAATTTCATCTCTAAGATGGATTTGTGAACGGAGAATTAACACCTCATTCATACTTTCACCAAACAAAATCCACAAAAGTATAAAGAATAAGTCAATCCTAATATTTCCAAGTGTGATTTCTTGAAAAATCATATAACGAAGGATATCGTTAAAAGCTTGGGAGATATTGAGAGGCTGAAGGAGCCAAACCTTGACAAATGATGCACGACTTCTCTGGTTAATAATAGGAACATCACATTCCAACCATCCCATACTTGTTACTTTTCAAGATCTTTTTTTAGATAAAGAAAATAGGAATCCCTAATAATGGATTCGTCCACTTAATCGGGCTATAATTTAAGAGATTGTATATCATGAGACCATTTACTTTTGATTATAGGGAGGTCGCAACTACCGATAACTTTCGGAGGTGAAACTTGATCACTTGGGTATCATAAAATTCAATATTTTTTTTTTTGAATTTTGAGCCTAGTTAATGCAACAAATAAAGTTGTCATATTTTACATCAAATGGTCAAGATTAATTATGACCTAAATATTCTTACTGTATAATTTTCTATAAATAAAAAAAAATTCATAAAAATACACTTATGTGATTAATATTTAATATTTTACCCATACCTATTGAATTAATTTCAAAATACCCAAAAAACCGCATGATTTTGGCTTGGAACAGTAGTAAAAAGAGAAAAGTGTAAAACAATTTAAATTTGAGGTGTATTTTGATACAGATTTCTAAAAATAAGAAATAAAGCCTAAAAATTTACGCATCACAAGAAAAAAAAATAACACTTTATTTTTACCCAAAATTTTTATCTTATATCTAACAATCTAACAATCAACTAATGCTGCGTAAGGGGCCGTTTGGGTACCTGAAAATATATTACATGACAATAGATTATAAGGAAATATGACATTTCCACCTTACACTTTAATAATAAGTACATGAAAAAGATTAGCCGAGATTACCCAAGGTAATATTTGAGAAATCTTCCACGTACTTTTCTCTGCCCTATCCCGCTTAAAAAAATGCTAACCGGCCATTTTTCTCTTAAGAACTTACCAAAGCGACGCTACTGCCCTAGAGCCATAATAACCGGTTTGTATACGTGGTCACTCCTTCTCTAAACCTGCCTCCTCTAAGCGCACCCCTCTCTCTTGAGCCCTAATAAGAGCCCTAACAACTAAGTGATTTGGATAGGTGGTCTCTCGCTCAGCACACCCCCTCTTGAGCCACGGGTTTGTATAAGATACTCTCTCCCTCTTTAAGCCCACGCCCTCGTGAGCCACGGATTTGCATGAGATACTCTCTCCCTCTTTAAGCTTATACTCTCTCTCTTGAGCCCTAATAACTGGTATCCATAAAGTCCTGACTCTCTTGAACCCTAATAATTAATATACATAAGGTCCTCCTTCTCTCTTAACTAGTTATTTTGGTGTGGATAAACACTATATCTTTAAAATTTACTGTAATTATCAAATCTTCTAATTTATTAATCAAACTTTTTCTCATTTTGTAACTTTTACTAATCAAATCTCTTCCCAGTTTTTAACTTGCACCATAAATATTTTGAATTTGGTATCATAAATTTATTGCTTATTTGAAATTTGAAAGACTTCAATAAAAAATTAATAAAGATAAGGCTATCATAATAAAAATATGTTATTCCAACCATATTATTCCAATGACTTACTATCTTGAAACCAAATCTAATATTAGAAAACATGTGATTCCATGTAAGTACCAAAGACATACAAAATAAGTTATTATTAAAAAATATTTTTGGAATGATGATGATGTTATTATTAGAAAATTTTGTTGGAATGGTGTGATGATGACTTTAATTCTGTATTCCAATGAAATTTTGTGACAAAAAAAAAGAAATGATAGTTTATAGGCAAGTGCTGATAAAATATTGGTAATGCATTTTCCATATTTCTTCCAAACATAGCCAAATGGTAACTATGTATTCCCTAAATTACATCTAAATACTACTCAAATAATAACAATTCATTTAGATGTAATATATTAAGTAGTAATATATTATACAATTAATATACTTACGAATAATATATTTCCAGTTACCCAAACAGCCCTTCAATATTTATATACTCGAAATGTTATAGTTTTACTCGAAAAAGTGATAACATCAGCTTAAGCGTACACGAAGAAAGTTCCGTAGTGCGTATGCCGCGTAAACCAAAGAAGCCCAAGTCAACACCTACTTCTTGCCCTAAATTTTTGTTAAGCAGCTACTACTTCTGTCACACCATCCAATACTTGTTGGAAATGTTTTCGACCCTAGATCGTTCGGGTTTTTTTGTGTAATAAAAAACCAATTATCTTGACTACCACAATAATAATGATTTTAAATAAAAAATAAATTTAAACGTTAATTTTGAAATTCATTGACATGAAAGACATTATCTTAACTACCACAACCTTGAAATTCATTGACATGAAAAAAAATGGATTTCTAATATTAAAAATAGTTCATCTTCTAACACATTTTCCAAATCACCCATTTTCAAGTGTTTATAGGTCTGTTTGATCGTCACCATTTGTAGAACTTTAAATTTCATTATTGAGAGCAACAATAAACTTTTATATCATCGAAAGGCTTTTCAGCACTGAAACTGCATTTTTGACATAGTTTTGAGATGCACCTTACTTCAATAATATAAATTGGAAACCTTATACAAACCTAACCCAAAGTTAAGTGGTCCACTATCACTAAAATCTCATCAGAATATCCCACGTATGACTAACAACAAACGTATCGACCCAAGAACTGGTTAGCAAAGAAACAGTTGAAGGTAAGAAAGAAGACTTGGCATGTGTCCCAAAGTGTCCATACGTTATGTATTTAGCGATCGTCCACGTGCCTCATCTAGAGCAAAGCGGGTGCCGGTCCACCTGAACAAATAACAATGGCCATAAAATACAATAAATACTTAGAAAGTGTTGCTTGACCCTCACAATTTTGGAAACAAATAAAAAAGGGAAATTTACAAAGTAATTATGAAAGATGAACTATTTAACATTCTATCTATTTATAGCTATTCCAACTTTAGATCACGTATTCTTTTATCGGCATTTGGAAATTAAATTAAAATACATGGTTAAGATGAACTTTTTTAAGGTGATAAAATGTTTATCTCTCATAGGTAACTTAATAAATTTCTCTAAATAAAAAATAATAATGAAGAAAGAAAGCAAGGTACATATGGGGCTGAAAATGGCTTGGGTATGGGTACGTAGACCCGACCCAACAGGATTAAAGCCATATTCATTTGGACCATGATTGATAGGAAGCTTTAGGTACCCACTGTGCTTGGTTTGGACCCAGACCAAGACCACAATGTCCAAGTCAATCGGTCTAAGACCCAAACCAACCTAGATATGTTCAAGATGGACATGGACCAAAATCTTTAAGAAAAGGCTGTTTTAATGTTGAAACCCCTCTAATTGATCATCTCTACATTGAGATGTATAAATATGAAAAATTAAAACAAAGATTTTAAGTCCAAACAATAATGCATCTTGCAACACATTATATAGACCGTCTATTTTCAAGATTTTCATATAGTTATATATCTACTTGATTTGAACTATTTTTTGGAGTTTAATATTTTATAATTTGATCTGAAAATAGATTTTCAGGTCATTCTAAAAAAATTTGATACCAAAATTACATGTTATGATCAAATATATAGGTGCGCTTTAATTTGATTGTTTAAGATTGCAACTTGAAAAAATACACCCTTAGCCTCTTATTTCTATATGTAAACACCAATAACTGTCACTATTTTAACTAGTTTTCTCCCTTTTAAAGATTTTATTGCACATCAAAAATGAAAAGAAAAACTCCTTGAGTGGTTGCTACAAAAAAAGAAATTCAATATAGAAAAGGGTTGTTGACCTAATCTTTAAGGGTGTTTTAGTAATCCCATGGGATAAATTTTTTTACTGCCCTCACAAGTTAAGACCTTCCTCTACTTGAGCTCATGGCCGACAACCTCTTACCAGAACCCTTTTTCTTTTATTTTTTGAAATGCAAGTTGACCTACCCCATCTAAGAAGAGAATATAAATATTTATGATAAATTCTCAAGGTCTCACCTCAAGCGCGTTGGCGTGGCATGATATAATATAGACTTAGAAAATACTCTATGCTTCTGCAGGAGCAAAGTGTACATTTGCTGCATTGAGTAGAACCCCAACTAGGAGGATTTTTGGGACCCAAAATTTTGAGGATGCAATATTCTAAGATCAATAAAAAAAAACATAAATTAACAAAGGAAAAAATACAGAAAAGAATATGCACCTGAAGTATACCTGAAAATTATACCCAGGTGTCCACATACCGAATTTATGGTCGGTTAGATTTAAGAGTTTTTGATACTCAATTTCTTTTTTTGAAATACTCGTAAGGTGATTCTAAAAAAGAACCTTAAAATTTAGAATTAAGGTGTACATCTAAAATCCTTCAAAATGGCTTTTTTTTATGTTGGAAAAACATCTATGATCATCTAGACATCAAGATGCATAGTTAAGGCGATTTTAAGTCCTAAAAATAGTACATCTTGCAATATATTATCGAGACTGTCTATTTTCAAGATTTCCATGCACTCATAAATCTACTTGATTTGAACTATGTTTTGAGTTTTAATTCTATAATTAGATATAAAAAAAATTGAAAATGACCTTGTGAGACCCTCCCACACCTATGTGTGTAGGACCCCAAAGGATCACCATTAAATTTAACGCAGATCTCTAGAAAAGTCAAATCTCACACCCATGTGATAGCTTTTCTAGAGATCTGTGTCAAATTTAATGGTGATCTTTTGAGGTCCTACACACATAAGTGTGGGAGGGTCTCATAAGATCATTACTCTATAAAAATAAATTCTCGTACCATCCTAAGAATTTTCGACACCAAAGTTACATCTCATGATAAAGTTTAGGTGTGCACCTTAATTTGATTGTTCAGAGTTGCAACCTTATGCAAACCACACGCCTATAAAAATAAGTCCCTAAATTTCAGATCAGTAATATTCTCTTTAGAAGTTCACTTGCCCAAGGGAGCAAATAGACCTTGTGCTCCTGCAGGAGCACGGTACAATGAGTAAAATAGGAAACATACAATATGGAAAATTACGCCATACACACTAAGGGGTATGGTTTTTTTGGTGCATGGTTACATCAACCGTCCATCCACGAGAGTATATGAGTTGAATGAGCCCTATTAAGGTGGTGTGTACTTTCTTCTTAAATATCCACAAACCAGTGTCCCAAATAATCGGCAAATACCTATGGTGCACCATAGAACATACACAACTGTCGTGATGGATCATGGAGTCCTTGACCATGTTGTTTAATTGAAGGACACGGTTCTTATGAGTCCATGTAGAAATGAGTCACACTTAATTTTTAAAGACATCTAATCTTTAACATGGAAGTTATGAATATGAAAAAATAAATAAAATTTTAAAAAATAAAAATAATAATACTATTAAGAAAACATTTGGACCGTTAGTTTCAATTGTTTTTAGATTAACCGCCTATTTACATCCATTTTTAAAATGAATATTTTAGACCTTAAGGACCACAAATTTAGAAATACGGACCGGCGTGAAACAATTTCCTTAGTAGAATGAACGGCCAATATTGAAAGGTGACCTTAGTCATCTAAACCTTAATGAATTAACTAAGGTCATATTTGAATTGGAAGCTTTTGAGCCAAGACAAGTATGAGATCATTGATTTTGCATTCATTAATTGGAAGCTTCCAAGACATGACATGCTTTGGATGGCACAGTGAATGAGAAGGTCCATCATGACTTGTTCTTATTTGGCTTTTCTCTTGAGTGAAAGAGAAGGTGCTATAATTTAAAGAAAACAAAGAGAGGTGTATAGCATACTCCAGCGGGAGCATATTAAACATTGTTTTCCCTTGGCAAAAGAGCTTATTCCGGGGATCTCAATCTTAAATTTTTGGGTCCACTTTAGAATCATCAAGCATATATCCACCATATTAAAACACTGTAGATTCATCAAGTATATAACCAATATATTAAAAAAAAGAAAAAAGAAGAAAAAAAAAATTTTGAGTTCTTAAACACTGTATAAAAATTAGATGGTCTCTGTTCTATATTATTATCATCATCATCAAGACTTTTTTTTCAACTATTTGAGATCGACTACACAAATATATCTACCATTTTGCTCTATCGTACCCTCATTGAGTCCATAAATCTATATCAAGATGCTAATTTTGCTTCCCAAAGTGCTTATATTTTTTTTAGGTGGGTTGGAGGTTACACCCCCAATAAATCTATGTTCTATATCAAGATGCTAATTTTGCTTCCCAAAGTGCTTATATTTTTTCAGGTGGGTTGGAGGTTACACCCCCAAAACTATGGGGTCCTAAAAATATGCTTAGATGGGATTTTAGTTGAGAGATTTAATGGATGATATGTTCCCGCAGGTGTACATAGATTTTTTGGCTTAAAAGAGCGGACCTAAAGATTTAATAACTGGGCATTTGGTGTAGAAGGTAAAGACTTTTGAGGCACCAATAAAGAAACAGAAACAACTGAAAGACGGTACACCAAAGAAGTAAAAAAATAACCAAACACATTTTTTGGGAGGGGGAGCTAGAATAACACGCTTCCCCAGTAGACTTTCCTATTATGCATTAAACAGAAACATGCACCGTATAAGTATGAGGACAAGTTCATGCTTTCACACTATGAAATAAAAAATTCAAGGTCTGTAGAAGAAAGTTTGGCTCTCAACAATTCTACTTCTCTGATTTCTAGTCCAAAAATTCAAACTTTTTGAATTTTGGGTAGGCATAATAATACTCCAAGTCTTTATGGATTTCGATTAATTAGATTTGATGGGCAAGCCGATTTTTTTTGGCCTATATAATATCTTAATGAGTTAGCCAATCTAGAAGGCCAAATTCTAGGGTTTAATAGTTGATAGCTTTTATATATATCCTTCCAGAATTTAAAGCCTTTTTGGGCTTATCAGGGAAGGAGATTCCTTTCAATTGTTTCATGGTTTTCTTCACATTTAAAGGAAACCCAACCTGAAGAAGAAGCCATCTTTCTTGTATTTTCTTACAAAAGAAAAAAGCTTCAAAAACCTTTGTTTCCTCTCCAATTCCTCTTCCTCAAGAGCTTCGACGACAACAACAATGGCTGACCAGCAAAGGATCCACCCAGTCGATGTAGAAGCACCACCCACCGCTCCTCTCGCACCGAGGGATGCAGTGATCTCGGAGAAAGGAGACCCGCCCAAACAGTTTTCGCCGTTTCATCGCACTTTTCCGGTGATGCACTCGAAGCCACCGAAGCGAAAGAATTGTTGCTGCCGTTTCCTTTGCTGGACCATGTGTTTCCTCATCACCCTTATAATACTCATAGGCATAACACTCGGCGCGCTTTATCTAATTTTCAGGCCTAAATTACCCGAGTACTCCGTGGATCGCCTGAGGATCACTGCTTTCAACTTCAATCCAACTGATATGAGCCTCTACACGCAGTTCGCCGTGACAATAACAGCAAAAAATCCGAACAAGAAGATTGGAATTTACTACGAGGATGGAAGCCACTTGAGCGTCTGGTATTCGGATACGAGGCTTTGTACCGGAGCTCTACCTAAATTTTATCAGGGCCATCAAAATACCACTGTTATGGAGGTGGCTTTGGCAGGGCAAAACCAGGTAGGGAGTGGTTTACAGGCTGCAATAGCTGAGCAGCAGAGCACTGGAATGGTGCCTTTGTTGTTTAGGGGTGATGTTCCTGTGAGAATCAAATTTGGGGCACTCAAGTTGATGAAGATAACTTCCAAGGTTAGGTGCAATTTGGTGGTTGATAGCTTGAGTGCCAACAACCAGGTTAGTATTAGAACTGGGTCTTGCAAATTCAGGTTGAAGCTCTGAGCTCTCTCTCCTACAGATTGAAGCTCCCTTCTCTCTTTTACAAGTTAGGACACCCCTTCTCTCTTTTACTTCTTAGGACACCCCCTTCTCTCTCTTTATAATTTTAGTTATACCATTTTCTTTGATGTTACCATTCATTCTAGATTTATTTTTCTGATAATTTTTTAGAAATAAGACGAAGATTACACAGCTCTAACTTTCTCTACCTTGCTCATGCATGTGTTGCATGGTTTTTTCAGGAATTACAGAGTTTGTCCCTTATTTCTTGAAGTTGCATAATTATAATTATAGAAATAAAATAGTGGTTGTCTTTGTCTTTTCTTCAAAAATTGTAAAAACTAAAAGTGATGATTATCTTTTCTCTCTACAGAATTACTGTGTATTATTATTTATTATATTTATCTTAAATAGAGAGAGGGATGGGCAACTTGATCGGGAAATCATCATTATCCAATTTATCATCCAAATAACTTGATAGGATCCGGAAACCATCAGCATCCAGATTCTATGGACAACTATGATAGTCGAATATTATTTGAATATTAATATTTTTTATACCAATCAAATTCACCACAATGTTTGAGGGTGTGCACATCTCAGCGACAGCGAGGCTCAAGCGAAAATAATTCAACAATAACAATGACAAAAATAACCCTATAAATATTTCAGTAAGTATTTTTATCTGTTACTTTTTTATATAATTATTCATTTTGTATTTTTATATGGGTGTGATGAACTACATATGCCCCCAAAAATTAAGGTGAATTTGATTATATGAAAATTTAAAAATTCAAACACCATGTGGAATGGACAAAGCACTTTAGAAATTCACTCACTCTTATATGTTCCAAGGGTGAGGTTTATATAAGGCACATTCTATATAAGGTGCATCTCTAAATTTTGCTAGTTTTAATATCCGAAACGATGGCTTGAAAATTTATTTTCATCCCTACGTATAAAACATAAAATTCCAAAAATAGTGCAAATCAAACAAATTTACAAATACTTGAAAATCTGAAAAATATACAGTCCAAATAACTTATAACAAGATGCCCTATTTTAATAATTGAATTTTTTTTTTTCCTTCATATTCATAAGTCTCAATGTTGAGATGATCAATTAGAAGGCGTTCCAACATCAAAACACTCTCTTCTAGAGGATTTTTGAGAAGCACCTTGCTTCAATAATATAAGGTTGATACCTTATGTATATGGTTCCCATGTGTTTTACATACACACCTAGCAAGTTCATCAATCCATCATATATTATATTATAAGCCCAATGAACAAGATTGAATGAGCCAAAAATGAATGGATAATGTTGCCCGTAAAACATTTGCACACATTATCCAAGCTTTGAGGATGGTTACAAGTGCATTGAAAATTTTCAAAAAAAACAAAGTGACTGGAACTCAGACCCAACCCGAACCCAACTTAAGTCCAAGGTTTTGGACCCAAACCTGACCCATCGGGTCCAAAACTTTGGACTGAGAACCAAACCTGGATGTACCCGATTCAATTGCCACCCGTAATCTAACCCTAAATCTGAAAGTGCACTAGGACGAAGAGGAGGTGGTAACTCACTTTCTCTCTCTTCACAAAATTATTTTCTTATTCTCTCTTAAAATCTTCTCATCGGCATGCTCACCACGTAACACGATAATGGTGATGGCATTAAATGTATACCCTCTTCATGTCTTCGACATTCAACTTTTATATTAATCTTTATATAACATTAATTTTTATATAAAGAAATATATGGGAAGTGATTTCAGGCAATGGTTTTATAGTACTAAGTATAATAATAAAACACTCCTTCTAAGGGAATGGGATCCGGGCATCGGTAGTTAGGGGGCGGATGCCCTAATATAACGTCTTTCCCTCCATTCCTTCCGTTAACATATCAAAAAATTAAAAATTAAATACTTATTCTCCGTTAACATATCAAATAAAAATAAAAATAAATACTCATTCAACTTCCATTTGTGAGAAATTTGTTTAACCTCAATTTTTAAGCTATTTTTATCCCGGTGAACAATATAATTTTTTTTGTAAATGGTCTTATCATTATTATTAGATAAATATTTAAAAGAATTTGATTTTGAGTTCTTCAAGACCCAAAGTTCATTATCCACCTGATGGACCTTTTGGATTCATTATAAGATAAGTACTCCTTTTGACTTTTTCTAAAGTGCAAATTCTCGTTTTTTTTTTTTTTTGTCATGAGATTGATTGATGAATAGCATGAAGAGGACCTTGTGGATTCATTATAAGATAAGTACTCCAGTTGGCTTTTTCCTAAGGTGCAAATTCAATTTTTTATGTCATGATATTGATGAATAGGATGAAGAGAGTGCACCTACAAAATTTGATGTCACCACTAACATCGTTTTTCTAAAAAAAGATAGTTTCATTATATTAAATGAAATAGTGACAAAATTTTAAATTTTCCATTCGACTTTTTTTTTCTCTATAATCTCTCAGCATGAGAATCTTGGAATGCACATAGTTAGAAAATCCAGGGAAGGAACAGAAATAATCACCCGGATCCACTTTTTCACGGGTCCTTTTCTTGTATTAAAAATGGTTGAGGTTTGTACAGGGTGCCCTTGAAAGTTAAATGTACCTCTAAAATTCACTCTGAGAAATAATTCTAGCGTTGGAAATGGCATAAAAAATATATTTTTATCCCAAGTTATGAAATTTAAAATTTCAAAAAAAACACAAATCAAACAAACCTATAAACACTTGAAAATCTTGAAAATAGACCGTCCACATCACTTGTTACAAAATACATTATTTCAAAGACTTGAAATTCTTTTTTTTCCTAGGTTCAAAATGAATAATTAGAGGGTTCTCTAATGTCTTAACACTGTCTTAAAACACTCTTCTAGAGGATAATGAAGTGCAGCGTACTTCACTAGTATAAGGTTGAAACCTTATATAAAATTTTTCCATTAAAAAATGGTCCCCAAATTGGTCTATCTTACAAACACTATTGACCAAATTACCCCGAGTTTGACCCTTGAAGGATCGAATTCACGAGGGCCCAAAATTGTTCACAAAAACGAGTTGGAACGAAAAGTTTTGTAGTTCATCTCTACAAAAATGTGTAACTCTCAATCTCTCTTATCTCTCTTTTTGTTGAAATGTTCATCAAACAAAATAAATGTACAACTCTCAATGTCTCTCTTATCTACATATTTTTTTCTAAATGTTCATCAAACAAAATACAAAATGTACTACAAATTTGATGCAGGATCGTATACAATGAGGCCATTTGCTTTTGAGACAGCGAGATCAAAATTATTTACAACTATCCAATGTGAAATCTGATAGTGTGGGTGTATCATAGAGTTCGTGAAAATTTCTTTTGAAGTTTGAGTTTGGTCAATAGAATAAATGCATGCATCTAATTCCACATCCAATGGTCAAGATTAATTGTAACCACCTTGTACTAAAAATAAATTGTTTCATTGTATATTTTTCCTTATGAAGTATTTCATTTTGGTTTTGTGTAAGAGTCTTAGAATTAATCCAATAAATCTTGCAAAAACAAATGGCGTCTAAATATGAATCTCAAGACTATTAAATCCTTAGTAAGCGAGAGAAACAGAGAGAGAGAGAGAGAGAGAGTCAGAGGTGTACATTAAAGCACCCATAAAGAGAGAGACGTTGCACTAAAACATACACGAGGAGAGAGAGATAGAGAGATCAATTTTGGGGTCCAAACTCGTGGAATTTTTCTATTTCTTCTTTTCTTTTTAGATCGGTAACTTTAATATCACTTAATAAACTAATTTCTAAACCTATGATTTCATTAAGAATCTAAGAATTCTGGAAATCACCATATTTCTCAAATTTCTAGACTTTTAGACTTCCTTTTAGAGCCCATTTGGTTCCTAGAGATGGAGATACCACTCAGAATTGGCATATCTAATATTGGTGTCTGTTGTTTGGCTAGCATCTGATAAGTGACTTGGAAGATGCATATCCATGATTTGGATTGTATAAATATTATTAATATAATATTATAGTATTGTATTATAATATTACATTAATAATGTTAAATTGTATATATTAATAATATATATTAATCATATAAATATTAAATATATTTTATACAATTCTAATATATAATCATATCATAATTAATATAATGATTGTATATTAGACATTAATTACTATACATACTTTTTACTTGTAGTGTTATTTTGGTTCAATGAACATTTACATGTTGTGGGCTTAAAATCTGGATACGGATATCCACACAGACTGAAATTCCACCTCCAACCTGCATCAAGGCTGCAGAAATGTCTGGTATATATGGAAACGAGTCTCTCGGATGCTAATTTCTAGGGAACCAAACAGGCCCTTAGGAGTTATGGAGAAAAGATAACTTCTCTACAACCATCATATACTTTTTCTCAGTTAAAGCGCTGACCTTTTGGATTCTTAACCACCAGAAAAGCATTGTAACCACGGCTGTAGTGCTTTCTTGTAATGCATGTCTAAGCTTCCTCTCTCTCTCTCTCACACACACATACATATATAGACACACACCAAGATGCACTACATAACATTTTGCTTCGCAAAGACAATAGAGTTTCAAGGTAATTGTTAGACAACACTGAGATATCACCAATTCTCACATGTCCACAGATTGATTTCGCCAAATGAACCCAAGACAATACAGGATGAGAACTCATAAATGGCACTTGCCAGGCGTACATCTATCAAGTATGCAATAAAACCATTTATCTTTGGTACAAAACGATGACAATCACCCCAAGTCATCAGACTAAAATTGGGCAGCTGGAAGTGGTGCCATTAACTGTGTTCAACATCCAATAAAAATTTTCTTGGATTTTGAGCGGCAAAATGACACTCCCAACAGCCTGATTTCACATCTGACGACTAGATGTAGGGACCTATTTTGTACCAAAGGTAACAGTCTCGGAATATTCAATCTCATATTTATTCATATATCGCCAAAATTATACTTTATCCAAAAGCCCTATTGGCCTGTCAAGGCACGCGGTCTATGTTCAAGAGTCATCAAGGACATACCTGTTTGGAATACAGCTCTTACAAATCCCATGTTTGCAGTTAAAGTTGGGGCACGCCATTGGTCTCCAGTGCCAAAAATGATCTTGTTCTTCAGGCCTATCTTTCTAGTGGTTGGAAGACCCACCACACGGGCAGATGGATTGTCCTTGATGACCCTGCAATTTGACAAACAACTTCAAGATCTTCAAAACAATTGACACAATCAACACCTCTCTCTCTCTCTCTCAGCAATGTTGGGGTTGGGTACTCAAGCTCAGCTCAACTAACAAAGTAAATGTGGATTGCCCAATTGAAAATAAGAACAAACTGAAAGCCGAATGCTTGTTTAAAGAGTTAGAAGCAAGACTCTTATGTGATAGCCCGATAGGCCACAATTAGCCATCTGCTCAACCAGAAATAGAGATTTTTCCCTCATAAACATGCATAACTTACCATCTGTTTAACTCATTGTAAACAACCCAAACCATCTGTTTAACTCATTGTAAACAACCCAAATTTAATTAGGGGGTTAAGATAACTACAGGGCTTTCATATGAATTTGAGAGAACTTATAAATCCAATTTCCCGATAGCATTATTATTATATATTCCTTTTCTAGGTTGCAAAATATAGGAATAATCTGGCATATTCAAATGTTATCTTTTTATAATCATTGTTAATTTATTTGCCATTTCAACAAACTTATCTACTGAATCACAACAATCAAATTAGAAGGAACAAAAAGTTCAAATTCATAATAAGAAAGAAAAGACATATATTTCCAAAAAATAAAATATTAAAATGTGATTTAAAGATTACAAATTGGCATGTTATAAAGGAGCCATACACTTAATTGCAAAGTGAAGAAGCAACCATTTAGATGGTAATTAGATGACAGAAAATCGCATTTCCAGGAGGCACCTAGAGTCATGACATAGTGATAAATAACCCATTCAATAATGGGGTTCAAGGAAAGGAGTCTTTCCCATCATTGGAATGTTCCCTCTTAACATTCATATACTTCTAGGATCATAGCACATAATTTTTGAAATGGAACTGTTTTCAGCTAAGAAACTCACACTAGGCATTGCAGCAAGCGATCTGCTCTCATTTTCTCACCCGGTCCTCCACACATTGCAATGAGCTCCTTGAACTCAGAACAAACGCTTTCGCATATGATAACTTTTCTGCATGATATTAAACATCCCAATTCCTCTAATATTGGGTTCTCAATCTCAGACTTTACCTGTAGAAGGAATAAGAACTTCAGAAAGTAATATTATAAGCTGCAGAAAATGTAAATATGCTAAAACTAGTCAAGGCTTCTATCAAAAAAACTGGGCTTGATCTCAAATAAAAAATAAAAAAAAGGAAGTCAAGTATTCAATCAATTCAGTAAAATCCACCAGGTCAGGCACTCAAACCAATTCCAATCTTTTGTGAACACAATTTAAACAATCTGACACCCAGAATAGAAACTCCGGAATGACAAAGTCTTCTACAACAACCGACAACCTAATGTTTTGAGAATAGCACACAACTGAACTTTACTTCTTTTCTTTTTTATTAAATTGAAATACAATGTGCGAGCTACTAAAAAACACTCCAATTATTTAGATGATGCCAATAAGTGAGGAACCCAGTGTTTCATCCCAGTAGCAGCAAACCAAATAGGGGAGTTGAATTTATTCTTTCACATCCAGTAGCTGAAAACCATCAGCAAAGGAGTGAAAGGCTTACATCATCATCTAATGAAGTCAAAATGTTTTGGTCATTTCCTGATAGTATGTTGAATTCTTGGTAATCTGTCAGTGACATGGAAATCAGAAAAATGAGGATTTTGGGACATATTATATAGATAAGAGGGTGTATAAATCAAATTATAGGAAGAGAAATGCTGTCAAGGGCCACATAATACCTGTGCCATTACAAAGGCGAAGTTACTCTTAAAGCGCTTTCTCATGTCGTCCTCTGGAGCTTTCAAAATCTGCTCGATACCACCACTACTTATTCCAGACACAAGTGCAATTAAAGCTGTTGTATCAAAATTAATCATATTTTCTCCCACGGTAACACCCATTTCAGTACCATCGCCATCAAGTAAGGAGGATTGCATAGTTGAAATCAAAGAACAGAAAGCAGCATTCCCAAGTACCTCTGGATCATTCCCCAACAAATTTTTGTGAAAACCCATCATGGTGTTTCCCAGTGAGGATGACATTGTCACACTTGATTCAGAATGAACACATGCTCTACGACCCTCATCGTCCTTCTCAAGACAATTAACTGCAAACTGAAATACACGAGCACCTTGATATTGTCTAGAAGAATCCTTGAGATCCCCATCAAATGTCTTCCTATTGAAAGTGATATTTACCCATTCATCTTCTAATTCCTCAAAGATACTAACCTCAAAATGATTAAATTCTTTCCCAATTTCAAGAGCTTTATATTCATCAATGAGCTTCTGAGGAACAACTTCATCAAGTCCATTGGCAAAGAAAAATATAACAAAGGCTGGCTGCAATGTCAGTGAAGAATTGGCTGCTTGAATAACCGAATGCAAGCGTGATCTTAGTCCCTTACTCCTATGAGAATATGCCCATGAAATATATTTTGGGTTCCTGTCTGAGACGATGAACCAAACTGGGTTTCCATGATAAGTGCATATTATATCAATATGGACTCCTTTTGGATTAGCCTTGAATTTTTTCCCATGTAATGATGACAGAGGCACAGATTTGCATACACGTGTAATGCTGTTTATAAATGGTTGCTGAAGAATGTACACAATACTCTCAAGGTAGCCAATGTTAGTACTGCAAATAGAGTAAGCAGCTGAATTTTGGACCAACAAACTCAAGAGTAATTGCACAACAATGGAGTTGACCATCACTATTAACTGATTAAGTATTAACCAATAAAGTAAGGCCAGTAAAAAATACTGTTTCAGGAGATTAATAATGATTTTATCTTAAGAAATTAATGAATGATGCTTTTCTATGGTGAATTCTTTATCATGACGGTTACTGGTCAACAGAATGATATTCAAATTACCTAAGTATTACGCGTTCCATGTGCACCCACCGTGCACCCGAAGTTAGGGGGAAAAATAGAGTAGTTTAACACAATGAATATTCAACAGAAGGTTAATACACATAAACAAGATTCAATTCTCAATGTTCCAAGATGTAGGTTCTCATAATCAGAGAGCAAATGAACAGGAATCAAAGCAGGGATATCCATCATATGAAAAATGTAACCGCAACCACCAGGATTTTTTCATTTTCATGTGACCTCAAAAGCAATATAATCCACCCAACTGGATTACTTTATTTCTTAATAACATTTATCGGCAAAAACACCCATGTATCGCGATGATATCTTGATAAAGCAAGAGCTGATACTACATTTAAAATTATAGCAACAAAATGCACTTTAAAAATAATGGCACGGTTGAATCATTAAAACCCCCATTTAAGCAACAACAGGAAGGCTTCTCTTCCTGAAAAAAATAACAGTGGATTTAAAAGAAATGCTAATATATTACAATAGAATAAATCGTCCTGACAGTAGTTAGCAGAATAACATCCTGATAATTTGTCACTAGGTTTTCTTTATTCATTTTCTATGATGTATTCTTCGGACACAATGATATAAACCCAGTATCTATGGTTGTTACTAAGGTTTCACAAAAATTAATTACTGTATGCCTTGTATCACCCATTCACCTCTGTATCTGAATTTTGCCTATAAATATTTAAGTGAATTTTTACTTTCAATGCAGCAAATTAACACGAAAAAACAAAAAGACAAACAGTAAAATATGAACAGATCAATTTGATGCGCAATTTTCAATATTAAAGGGATTATCTATTACCATAAAATAACCAAATTATAGCAATAATCACATTAAAAAAAAAAAAACAAATTATAGCAGTGAGCTATAGCAAATTTGTGTCAAGAAAGGGCGAACCGTGGTCGATAAATATGAAACCAAACCGAAATTAGGGTTATGACTATAGTAAAACATACCTGAGAGGACCACAAAAGTCCTGAGAAAGGGAATTGAGAAATTTGAGCTCCGAAATTATGAGTTTATATAAGCTGCGTTTACAGGTTAGAGAAATCTTTGAAGGAGGTAAGGATTGAAGTTGCTCTAAACAATCGACGCATCTCTTCTTCGCCTTCTGTAAGTCCATACTTGAACTTCCGGCCAAAATTTAGAGATAGATAGAGACTTTAGAGACCGTTAAAACCCTAGTTTTGCCGCTACCGCCTTTTTACGGGTTTTTGTGATATGGGGTGTTTGTGCAAGAGAACGCGCACGCACGTTACAGTTTGCTTTGAACTTTGATCGCTAACATTTTGTTTCAGTTTTATCTCGCTTTGATTTAAAAAAAAGTTTATAAAAGGTGCAAGTAGATTTAGGAATCGGTTTTTATGAGTCCAATGACTCGTATCCGTTATTTTTATTTTTATTTTACCAATGTTAAAAAAATGTATTGGTAAAAACTACCCCAAATTACAACATCATAAATAATTAGAGCTAGAAGAGAGAAGAATCATAAATAATAAGAGCTAGAAGAGAGAAGAGCCATGCTTAGCCAAAGAATCTGCTAATGTATTAGCCTCCTAAACACGTGGTTAAAGATCGACAACAGCTCAGCAAAATCCACAATTTGCAGCCAGTTATGTGCTAATTTCCAAGGAATTCGCCTCTCCTTCTTACACTATTGGATAGCGTTCAAGGAAATCGCCTTCCACCAAACAGCATCCACTAAAATTTCTACTCTTGAAGATTTTCAGGCACTGCAAGAGAGCAAGCATCTCAACTTGATTTGCCAAGCCTATCCCAACTGGTCCAACAAAGCCTAACAATACATTCCCAATCCAACCCCTATCAACTCCCCTGATCCTTGTAGGCCTCAGATTCTTTAGAGAGCTACTATCGAAGTTTAGTTTGAAGGTATCAGGCATAGGAGGCGCTTATAGGTCGTCTCGTATCCAGTTTTCAAAGAGTTTCTAAGTCCCCATATATTTTCTCACTAGTTTTAATTAAATCATTTTTAAGCTTATTGTTTATTATTTTTTTAGCCTTCTACTTGAACTAACTTATACTTTTTTAATAAGCAGTATCTTTGTTGCACATGTCCAAAAATCTATTTTGTCTCATCTTAACGCCCATTGGAGTCATGCCTGTATACTCCCGAATAATATTCATTTCGAATTCTATGTCTTTTTATATCGCCACTAATCCATATCAACGTCATCATCATCTTAGCTACAATTATCACATGGGAATGTTTTTTCTTGACTGCCTAACATTATGTTCCATAAAACAATGTAGGTCTCACAACTATCCTATAGAACTTTGTGATATATACGGCAATCACATAAAAACTCCGATTGCACATATCTAGTTCGCCTTATGAAATGACAAGTCTATTCTAAGCTCTTAGACTTCACAAAATTTGGCCAAATTTTAAACTTTATTATAGTAAATTGGGCCTTTGTAATTAGGCGAACCACCTAAGATATAAACACTTGAAAAGCAAAGCTGTATACCATAGATATCGTACCACCCTATTTTTGTCTTTTTGAAAACTTTGGTTCGATGTTTCCAACATTTGATAATATGCTTTAAAAAATTATAATGCATGGACACTCTTATGTTTCCAACATTGAATCAGTTCCTGTACTTGAAAATAAATAAACAATTTGATGTCTCGCACATCGGACTTTGGGGCAAATAGGAGAAAAAAAAGGGACTCGGGAGTTTTTCTTTTTTTTTTAAAAAAAAAGCACCTAACCAATGTTTCAAATATGGGACAAGTGTAGTTGTACGTAATATTTTTATAAAATTGTATCATTATGTAGTTATTGTATAGTAATTCGGTACGAACCTAATTTTTCCAACCCACAATCATCTTTGTAATTATAAATGGGTAGAATGTTGAATAGTTCATATTTCTACGAGGATTTTGACAAATTTCCCTTCAATTTTTTTGCCTTATTTTTCCTTAATTTTTGTCCTCGTTCTATTGTCTTCTTAACAAATGGTATACATGCCTCACATCTGTTATACACTGAAAGCCTATAATCAGACCAAAAGGATTGCAAATGACCTTCAGCACTCAAAAGTCATGAACTCTTAAGTCAAGCGGATAAAGGATGTTATTTTTCCAATAAATGAGTTTTTGAGAAAATTTATATTGAACAATACACGCATGAGTTGCTCGATGTCACATGTATGAGAAGTGATCATGACATTTTTGTACTAAAGATTTTAAAGTAATTAATTTTATACGAAAGGTATACAATGAGACTAACTAAAGATTTTAAAGTAATTAATTTTATACGAAAGGTATACAATGAGACTAACTAATTGTGTTATAAAGAGGTACCAAACTTCATTAACTGTTAGATTAGGAATCAAATGGTTGAAACCGTGTCATTATTTGGACATAAAATGCAAAATAAAATTTCTCGAATGTCGTGACACACTTTTATCTATTAAATTTTGCATCTAATATATAAGGGTGTGGTTTTAACATCTAATTAAGGCGCACCACCAAATTTTATCATAACATGTAATTTTGGCATAAAACTTACTAGAATTATTTAAGAATATATTTTCATATCTAATTATAAAAATTAAACTTAAAAAATGATTAAAATTAAGTAGATTTATGAACATATGAAAATATTGAAAATAGACGGCCTAGATAATGTATTGCAAGATGCGCTATTTTTTAGTCTCAAATATCTTATTTTTTCATATTCAAACATCTCAATATTGGGATGGTCAACTAGAGGGTGTTTCCAAACCTTAAAGTAAACTTTTCCCAATAGGCAGATGTGACCTCCTTATACAAAAAACAAATAATCTCATAATATAGAATCCCAATCTTATATATTTAACAACCAAATCTCATCAGGTATTCTTAAAATAAACTATAAAACACCTTTATTTTCTCTCTGTCTCCACAAAACCCATGTGTATAAACATAAATGTATAAATAGTGTGTAACAAAAGCATGCAACCATGCACTACTCTCCAAATTCCATGCTACCTTATCAAATCTAGTTGATGCAAATAACACAATTAGCAACAATTGCTTTATATCTTTATGGAAGCTATCTTTAAAATCAACCAAAAAAATTTGAGAAAATATCACTAAAATGGCTAGAGCATCTTGAAAATCATTGAGGCAGTTGAACCAACCAATTGGGGTTGATTTAAAAATATCATTTTACTCAAATGCCTCCTAAAATAATTTACTAAAATTGTCCAAACTATTGTTGTTTTAAGTTTGGAATCCTGCACAAATAGTACATGGGTAATTCAGCATTACATGAGTGGCCAAGCCAAGCCAAAACTCACAAACTCTTTAACTTGTTTTGGATCTCCAAACAGAAAAAATAAAGGTTTCTACATTTCTCCTACTTTATAGAAGTTATATACTCCCCCATCCAATTGTCCAATCTAGATTAAATAAGTGATCGTTTGATCTAGATCTGATGCCTCAGAGTATATATATCTTTTGCTGTTTTGAAATCAAAACAAAAATCTGTTTGGGCTAGGCCAATTGATGAAACTACCTCCAGTCATTCCAGGTTTCGAGCCCAAAAATACATGTTCCAGATTTTAAAGTCTAAATAAATAAGGGCAGGGTGGTGACTTATTTCAATAGCTAAATAATAGAATTTGCTTACCTCCTCGGATTCCAAACTTAAAAGACAAGAATTTTGGGCACTCTTTAATAAAAGAAAAAATATACAAAAGAGATACGTTTATATTTTTAGTACAGGGAGATAAAAGTTACTATTGTTTTATTAGATTTCAAATTGGGTAGTTGTCATGATTAGACTCAATTAAAAAAAAAAAATCCCAAACTATGTGATATTCCCCAAACCATTAAATTTGACATAAGCTGGAAGTAATTATAATATCCTTGTAATAAGAATAGATAGTCTCATTGTGTGCAATTCTAGAATAAGAGGTACTTGATTGAAAAGTTTTTATCTAATGCAACCACATTCTCAAAACATTGGATAATTTCATTACCTCATGTATTTTTCTTTCAGCTGGAAAATTGTTTGATAGGGCTGCAGCCTGTCAAAGTAAGTTCAGCTCATAACTCATTGAATTTTGTAATGTAATTATAGAAAAACCTAATATTGATCATCTCTGCTTGAACATTATGGTTGTAAAAAAAATTGGATTTTTAAGTTCTAAAAATAATTTATATCGTACTATAGTATATATATCATCTATTTAATACTAAAAATAAGCGTCTATAGATCTGTATAATTTTTTAGCTTCGAATTTTACTATGAATGTTGAAAATTGATTTTAAAACCATCATAAAAAATTTTATTGTGGAAAGTGTTATTTTGTTTTCATAAATCCGGGGCCTTAGAGAAACTTCATCCTTTGAGTAACTTCAAGTTTCAATGATATTATTGCCTTCCCTAATATCGTATTAATTCAGTAGACTTCAATTTTATTTAAACCATCATTCGATAATAACAAGAACATCTATCAGTACAATTATCTGCTATAAATGAGGAGCCGTATAGAGAGAGAGAGAGAGAGAGGGAAAGAGTGAGAGACGGGGGGATTGGGCAAGTGAAAGAGGGCGGCGGAAAAGCTTCGTTTATTATTATTTCCTATTAAATATCATATTCATCAGAGAAAACGCAAATGCTTCATCTCTCGAGTCAACCGCCCGCACTGTGTTTCTCTCTCTTCCTCACTTTGGCTGCTTTCCCTTTCAGTCCAGGCCCCAAGCCCTCGTACTCTCTCTCTACAGCTCCAAATCACACCGTTTCTCTCTCTAAAACTTCGAATCACTCAATTGACAGCAAGAAGGCCTCCGTCGCTGCAAGCGCCATGGAGCCCCCTGTTGCCAAGAAAATTAGGCGTGAGATGGAGATGTTTGGCGATGTTAGGATTGACAATTACTACTGGCTTCGTGATGATTCTCGCTCTAACCCTGAAGTTCTTTCCTATCTCAACCAGGAAAACTCTTACACTGAGTCTGTAATGTCCGGTAAAATTCTATCCTTGCTGAATCTTTTTATTGGCATTGTGCTCATAAGTTGATCCCTTATTTATTTTTGAGCTTAAATTTGAGTTCTTCTTGTCCTGACCTGGAATATACTCACATAGGATATGAATGTCTGATAAAATTCCAATTTTGCTGAAATGATCAATAGTCATCTTGATTATCAGTTCATTCATTTGATTTTGGTTAACTGGATATTAGTTTTTGTAGTTCATCTGGTTTTTTTGAATGATCTCGTTATGCAATAATGTCTATATGGGATTGTTTTGTCTCGTTGAATTTCCTTTCGTTTTCTAGGGTTGTGGATCTAGACTCCGCATGATTCTCCCTATATTAATTTATTTTTATGCTGGAATTGTATTGGAAAAAGTTTATGTAGAGCCCAGGCTCTAAACAATTAAATTAGAGCTCACCTAAAAAATTTAACTAGAAAAGGTTGTTTTGATGCCCAAATATCCTCAAATCATCTCGATATCAAGATGCACGAGTGTGAGAAAAAAAATAGATTTTAAGTTTTGGAAATAGTGCATCTTGTAAGGCATTTTTGTACCGACAGTTTTCCCAATTGTCAAGTTTTCATGGATCTGCTAAATCTACACTATTTTTGAAGCTTTAAATTTATAATTAAATATGAAAATATATTGTAAGGCTATTACAAAGATTTCCAGCATTGAAACCACATTTCTCAGCACTATTTGAAGGTGCATTGTACTTTGATTGTTTAGAGCCTAGGCTCTATACAAACCACACCCATTATATATTGATTATCCATTTGTTTAAATGGATATGTTCCTTCATGAAATTGAATAATCAACAATAAGAATTTATTTCATT